TTCTTGGGCACAGGCGACCTGCCTGGAGCGACAAGCTACAGAAGGAGGGACCGAGTTCCAGCCAGGGTGCGCGGTGCCACGCTCTCTCCCCGACGCCAGCCGGCTCCAGAGTGCGCGTGCGGGCTGTGCTTGTGTCTCACTGACCAGCGTCCAGATGGTCACAGGGAAAGAAGCCGGCTGGGCCGGAGCCCCAGCTTCTGCCTGTGCGATGCCTGCGTGCTCTTATTCTAACAAATTCTGGTTTATCAGGAAATAACAAATCCCACTTTCTGTATTTATGTTCCTATCACTCACATAAAACAACTAGAATTTTTTCCTTCAGAAGAGATACTTTCAGCATAAGAAACTTAAAAAGAAAAGTGGGTGAGTGGAAATTATCACGTATAGATCAGACACAGTGAGCGTCTCGGCAGCTACGCCACACGCTTCCTGAGCTCCGAGCGTGTGGTAAGTAATAAGGTCGCCCCTCCATCAAAGATGCCTGCGGCTCTGAGTGGTCATCACTGCACAAGTGACACTGGCGACAGCGAGACACATTCCACACAGCTCGTGCTGACGTTGCGGCCAAGGGGAAATCGTGTGAGGTGCTTTTCCCCTGCAGCGTAAGGAACAGCAGACTACTGACATGTTCATTTATCGATGACTCACAGGCAATACAAACAAGAACATGGCAGCCAAAGCAGATGTACGGGAAGAGTGACCCACGTGCAAGACGTCAGCAGCACTGCTGTGCAGTCTTCAGTGCAACCTTGGGGAGAAAGACGCTGAACTTCCAGAGGCTGAGAAAGGCCCTTGCGGCCACAACCTCAGAGTGCGTGCCCAAGACTCAGGCGAGGAGCTACTGACTCACCGGTTTGCTGTGCTTCTGGGAGTTGTGTCAGCTGACAACTTAACACTTCTAACAATGGCGGCTTTTCTTTATAACGGGGGAGGAAGGGGCTTCCTCAGGACGCAGCGCACACAGGTCAGAACTCTAACCCCGACACTGAGCACATTCAAAGGTAAACAGGACACAGCGGGGCAGGCGCCACACTTACTGTTAGGATTCCATGCCAGAGCCCAACGTCTTTCTTGAAATCCAACACATTCACAATCGTTTCAGCTATACAAATAAAAAGAGTCAAAGATTTTTACTCACAGAAGATGAGCGCAGACCAAAGAACAAAGAAAACCCAGCACCACATCAGCGGGAAATAATGGGTTTTGGGAAAATACCATTTCACTCTGTCTTTGCATAAATGCCACAGCCTCCCGTCAGAGCCGTTTAAAAACGCTGGCCTGGCTGGAAAGTGCTTCCAGGTGAAATT